GCATGTCTCCAACCTGCCCCTTCTCTCCCAGGGCCAGCCCTGTGTGCTCCAGGTAACTTTGAACACCCCTTCCACCTTCGCCCCCCACCCCAGAGGATAACAGATGCCCTCAGTTCCCTTTGAAAAGGGCTCTCCCCCTTCCTCTGGAAGCATAGTCATCGGTACAGAGGAAAACACTTAAATATAACCCATAATGCCATTGTCTAAAGATACCCAGTATTAGATTTTTTGTGTGTGTGGTATCCTTTCTCTCTCTCTCTCTATGTACATGCACACAGCCTCAGAAACTCTAATAGGGTGAACGGGAGTGAGAATCTACTCAACAGCAGTGGGTATACCTGTGAAAGCCAAAGCCATAGCCCGTATAAGGTGGGACTCTGTCAAAGAAGTCTTGTCCACTAAAAGGCATGATGGAACATTGGAAACCACGCTTGCCAGGGGCTGAGAGCTTCTGGGACCTGGAAATAACAGGCCTCTGTGGTTCCGGCTCCCGCAGGTCTCACTGTGTGTCCAGCCTTCCCTGGTCCATATGTCCCCAAGTCCCTGAGTCCAATATTAGCTCATAAGTCCAATACTAATCCATAAAGTCCTCTTCAGACTAACAAAATACATGCAATGATACCGAATGAAGGAAGATCACAGGCCAGTGGGTGGAAAGTCTTGTGGGTCCAGTGGTGGTGTAAGCATCTCAGCAGTGGCGTGGGTCTCCATGTGGGTCCTCCAGCTCCAGGTCTCTAGCATAGCTCCATGTGTGTTGTCATCAGGAATACCAAGCAGAGAGTCTCGATGTCCCACCTCTAGTGAGCTACTTATCTCAACGCCTCCAAAAGAGGTCATCAAACAGCAACCTGATTGAAAGGCTAAATTCCACCCCTTCACTCTTAATAGTCTCAAGTTGGCACCAGATTATGTAACTACCTCCTCCTCCTTCTTTCTGTTTAATCCCCAAGACAAATCTACGTTTATTTTAAAATACTCATGGAAACAACGTGCAGCCAGTAAGAAGCACGTGCTCTTCCAGGCCAAGCCACAGGGGAGACTGGGTTGCATTAACTTGTCCATGCGGTTCACAGTTTGAACAGACCCCTCAGTGCATGACTACAGAAAACAAGACCCCCAACTCACAATTCTGTTCAAAATCTTTGTCTTAAAGAAAATAAATGGAACCGAACATGAGTTGTTATAATGTTAGCTTTGTTGTCTGTGCGGTGGCGTGAGGCCCTGGGGTGGGTCTCTGAGTGGGGTCCTCACCTGCTCTCACTGCAGCCCCACACAGACGCTCTGTGGGAGGACGGGACAGAGAGGAGTTCTGAGTGAGCTGTGATACCCGAGGAGGGGCAGGGCCTCTGGAGAACTTCCTGGGAATCATCAACCAGCCCCAGTGAGGTGGTCCACCATTGCCCCTGCTGCCTGCTGAGGAGAGGGGAAGAGGAACTGGTCACATGGTTCAGCAGAGAGCTCTCACAGCCCTTCCTCAGGGGACTGCCTTGTGTCCTCATTTTACCGATAACAATATACTAAACTCACCAGACTTCAACCCGGTGCTCCAAGATGTGATGAATGCAATATACCGGCATAGAGTAGGGAACCAGTGGAGAGGTCTGAGGGGCCAGACCCAATCTGAACTACATGGACACTTGCCCCTCCCCACAGAAGAATTTATTTCAGAGGACAGCACTGAAGCTGCAGCTCAGGGAGAGGGACATGTCTGATCAGAGCACACATGAGCAAATGAAGGGGGAGGAAGAGAGAGTGGAGCACATCCTCACCCACCAAGCCTTGAGGATGAGATCCCCGCTCAGAGCAGCTAATCCACAGAGAAGACCACATGGCCGGCCCCACTATGAGACACAACATCCCTCACGGACCCATAGCCCTACAGGGTACAACACTGGAGACAGTGTGGAAATTGCGCCCGATCTGATCCCACCACACTGA